TTTGTATTGACTCATAAAATTAAAATCACAGTTTTTTCCCCCTCTTCATTCAAAACAGTTTGGTCCTTGGAAATAATTGATGGCATCTCTAGGAGCTATATGTTTATTTAAGTTTGTTTATACTTCATTACATATGTTCAACACAACATTAATCATTATCCCAGACTTAATAGAACTTTCCAAAGCTTGTAAGCTTATCAAATTATATTTTTAAAAAAAGAAATGTTGTAGACAATAATAAAAATATTCAAGAAATTATTTAGTAAATGTCTGGACTTTTCCAAACAATTTCCGCTTCCTGGATACCTTATGCAAGCAAGTGATATTCTATCAAATAGAATAAGTTAACAATTAATGAGAGCTGAGAATATTATATAAACAAAAAATAAAATAATGAAATAATTCTGAATCAAAATGTTCTGTACTACTTAGATATTACACAGAAACTGAGTTTTCTGTTTTATTTTTTTTCTCATCAGATCTTCTTTCAATAAAATTGAATTATAAGAACTACAAGTAGTAATCATTTTTCACAATTAAATAAAATTTTTAAAAAATTGACATAGAATTGTCTCTTTTAAAGTACTCAATATAAAAACCAATTTAAATGTCAGATAATAACTGAAAGTAATTTTCAGATTGATAATTGCTAAATAAACTTCTGTAATATTAAATTTAAATTTAATAATAACATGTTTGATAAATAACAATTTATAATAAAATGTTTGGTAAATAATAAGATATAGCACTTACCTTAAGGAGCCAAGTGAGAACAGATTCTCTGTAAGGTACAAAGCCTCTGTTATCAACGAGTGCTGACATCACTTTTCCAAGGGTCAGGAGAGAACGATTTATACTGGCCCCTTCCTGATCAAATGAATATTTCAATTATATTTCAATTATTAAAATTCCTTAATCATATTTAATAAAATTTAAATAAATAGAAATTGAAAATTAAAATGGCATTATCTTATCTTAGTTTAACGTCAGCTGATTATTACAGAAAATTTTAATAAATTGAACAAATTTATTAGATAATCTTATAAAGTGACAGAAGTTCAAATGTTTTTTTTTATTTTTTTATGCTGTTCATTGTAAATTATTATTGAAAGAAAATTCATTTTCATGAAACACCTAACAATAATTTATTTTTGACTACAAGAAAAATGCTTCATAGAACTAATTCCAATATATTTTTTTTAAGACATTTCAAGTTCAACTAGTTACCTCCTCTTTAAATTATTCTGTGATAAGGAAGACAAATCTAAAACATACCAATCTTTTGGCTATATAAAGTATCAACAAATGATTGAATAACACAATAGATTAGTTTAGTAGTTGCCTCACTCAACCTCAATGGACTTATGAAAAAAAAACTTGTACCACTACAACCCATGAAGGGTCTTTGGTTCAGTACTACTTAGGAAAAGCACTGTTTCTAGGTCAACGGTTGTACAAGGAGTTGATTTGACTATCACGTCCAACGGCCAGATTTTTCCCCTTAATTAATCATTTCATTAAGGGTATCCACATTACATAGGCTGGGTGTAAGCCCCAGGACACGGATGGATCTACGGCCCAATGAATCAGAATAAATAAATTTTCTACCATGAGCCGGAACCTGGGACCTGTAGCATTGGAAACTCAGTACCTTACCACTGAGCTGCTACCCCTCTCCCTTATTTATGATAGGCAATTATAACAATTTTTATATTTAATTTTTTTTAAATATGTCAATGATTATACAAATAATCATGCATGAAAAGTTAACTAAAGAATATTGGATATGACTGTGAATTGAAAAAAAAGTGTTTTTAGACTTAAAAATGACGAAAACATCATAGTAGAATTGTGAAAGTGAAAACATCGGTATAATGTTGACTTATATAATAAATTAGAAACTGAGATAATAAGATATTATTGTCATATTTTATTTTTGATAAATCATTGTCATACATTATTTTTACTTTTGATGATGGATATTAACTATAAATTGTTCAAGTTTAATTCATTCAAAAATTTCTACACACAATATGTAGCCCGTGGTGCAGGCCTCTTTTCATGAATTAGAATGACATTGTGAAAATTTATGAATATCCGGCTGATTTTCATGTTAATGGTTAATAAGGATGAGTACAATCAATAGGTAATAGTGGACTATAAAAATATTGGGGCGTTTGGCGTGACATACAACCCCAACATGTTGTCAGAACGAGGTTCTGAAAATTTATGAACATCCGGCTAATTTTCACATGTATGGTTAATAAAGGTGAGTACAATCAAATGATCATAGTGGCCTACAAAAATATTGGGGCATTTGGCGTGACCTTTAACCCCAACATGTCGTCAGAATAACATTGTGAAAATTTATGAACATCCGTAGGCCACGAAGCACAGATGATAAGCAAGCTATTTCTAGATAAAATAATGTAGTGGCCTACAAAAATATTGGGGCGTTTGGCTTAAACCACAAAAATGAGACATAAATTATTTTTCCACCAAACTAATGATTTCACTTTTATTTTAACAAAAGTAACTAAAAAAAAAAGGGTATATAAAAAATTTAATGTGTAAACGATTTATTTATTTAGTTTGTTTTTTTGTTGCCTCTACCCTGCAGGGTCATTGAAAACACCTTCTAATTAAATTTTATTATAGAGTTTCACAGCTTTTAGGAATTCTAGTGGGTTTTTTTTTACAGCCTTTTCATTGTCTTTTAGGTTTTCTGATAGGTTTGGTGCTATATCCAAATTTTCTCTGATATTTTTTTGTGCCTTGAATAATGTGTTTCACAGTTCTTTGGACAATGCAGCTCTCACAGGTCGGAGGATCAAGTCCGTTTAGTAGGCAGGCGTGCGAGAACTCACAATGTCCAATTCGTAATCTGCAGAGGGTTGTCTCTTTTTTTCTAGAGGATCGACATGAGGTTTCCCATTTTGAGTAGTGGGATTTTATTTTTCTCAATTTAGAGTCATTTTGTTTCCATTTATTTTCCCACATTTTACTCACATTCACCTAAATCTTTCGCATGTAGTCCTCTAAAGGGATTTTATTAATTAGTTCCACCGGACTTGTGCTTGCCATGTTGGCTGCTAGGTCAGCCTGCTCATTTCCAGGAACCCATATGAATCTTATTAATTTACCTTTCTGCTTTAGCTGCTACCAAAAGTTTCTTAATTCTTTCGCTAAAGTAGTTGTTGGCCTGTTATTCTCAACGGCTTGTATTGAACTCATCAAATCCGCCAACATGGCCCAATTGGTAGACTCTAAGTATCTAAGAACTTCTCTTATCACTATCATTTCACCAGAAAACAATGAGCATGCCTCCATGAGTTGAAACAGTTTTCGAGTGTGAGAATTTATAACCGAGCATTCTACTTCCCTGTCTAATTTTGAGGCATCCATGTATAAGATAATACACTCCTTGTAATTATCTAAGTTTTGAAAAATACTTTTTGTGCTTAACTAGAAGTGCCTTATCATTATTACATCTGGCGATTGAGGTATCTATGATTGGTGAGGTGTGGGTCCATCGGGGATTTTTACATCCGCCACATCCTGAACATTTTCTATTTTTTACTTCCGGAAAGATACCGAGGCCTTCTACAAAGTTTTTCTGCCTCCTATTACGCGCTTCCTCATTACAGAATAATATTTTGTTTAGTAGGTGGTTTGGATTGGTCTTGATTTCTAGTCCATACTTCATTGTCATTAGCAGCCTTCAGAAATATAGAGGAGGTTCACCAGCTTCAGCACATAGGCTTTCAATAGGAGAGGTATAAGAGATGCCAATTCTTAATGCAGAGTTTTGTACCACATATAACATCCTTAAAGTTTTGTTTGAAGTAGAACTGTAAATGCTTGAACCATAGTCTAGTTTACTTCTGATAGTTGCATAATATATACTCAATGGACTTTTTCTATCCGCCCCCTGGTCGTGTGAGATAGACATTTGAGCAGAACAACTCTTTTGAGGCACTCTTCTTTGAGTAGTTTAATATGCATTGTCCATCTAAGCGGGCGATCCAACTGCATTCCCAATTACTTAAGGTTGTCAAAGAATGGAATTTCAGCATCACCCACCCATATTTTTGGGTTTAGTGTACACCCTACCCTCTTAGTCTGCAAAACTGCATTGCTCTGGTTTTGGTAGCACATAGACTAAGGCCACTTTGAATTGTTCATGTTTTCACGCTATTTAGTGCTTCTTGGACTTTTCACTTAAAAAATTTTATCGATTTACTTCGATAGAGCAGCAGTATGTCATCGACATACAGAATGATTCTTTCAGGCTTGACAGAGACAGCCACTATGTCATTCATTGCGGCCTGAAAGAGGATAATGCTGAGTGAAGATCCTTGAAGAGTGCCGTTCTTCATAGTGCAAGAGATGATTCTGAGGTTCCAACCTCAACACTAAATTGTCTATTTTTTAGAAATTTCGTTATGTAATTAAATAATTTTCCTTCTATGTTCCACCTTCTTAGAATATCCAAGACATGCTATTTCCACAGCATATCATAAGCTTTTTCGATATCGAGAAATATGGCAATAAGGTGTTGCTTCTTTTGAAACTTTATGAGCTAGACTGTTAACACACAGACCATTTTGCGACACTTGGTTATTTGAACTCAGGGGACCTCAAAACATGTATTTCCGTTGAAAACTGAGATTCCAAAATTTTCACGATCGCAATACTTACCCTTACTGTATATTACATATATATGTAAGTGAAAGTAAAAAAAGGAGTTAATATTAGGTTGATACACATGAACAGAGCTTCAAATTTTGTGTGAAAATCTATTCTAAAAATTATGGCTAAGCAAACTAATGTGAAACAGTTAAATTAAAATAAACAAAAAGGCAGCTGGTATTCAAGATTTTGCTATAGGTAAATACTGTATTTATTTAATTGTGATAAATACAAATTTACAACAATAAATCAACTTTAATTTGGAAAGAAAAGAAACATTACTATTTATTTTGAAACTACAACCCTTCTTACTTCTTTAAACAGTAAAGATCAAGTTGGTGGGGGAGAGGGGAGGAATAGCATACCGGTGTTGCATATCCCTCAAGTCTTGTCTGTAATTAGTCCAATTTGATTAGGTCCAGTAAGGTTTTGGGTATTTTGGTGTCTTTATCCTTAACTATAGATGATTGTTTAATATGATATATGAATCACTATAAGATAAAAATTACCCTCAGGCGGTCGGAAGAAACAGTAGAACTTGCTATTCTTTCACTCCCAGCTAGATCAACAAGATTTATATGACTTCTTCTTGTTTGATCATGGCTCCAAGTTCCATCACTGCGAACCTATTAAAAGAATAAATTTTAAAAAATCATTATCTATTCATTAAAAATTTTCATACTATACTTTATCAGACTGATTAGCTTAATTAATTTTAATTATTATTTATATTGTAGGTAAATGAAATAAAACAAAGAATGCAGATGAAAATAGGCAATCAAATATTTTCAGCAGAGATGTAGATTTAGAGAAAGATATTGATGTCAACAGAGAAGAGTTTCAAAATAAGTTTGCTAACCCACTGTGTCATTCGAAATGAAAGTAGAGAAATAAAACTTTAAATTTTGATAATACTATATTTTAAGCATATAAATCAATTAACAAACAATATTTAAAAAATATAATCACGGTGAGGAAGTCTGATATCTTGGAGGCCTTGAGAGAAAAAGGGGTTGATGAAGGTCATGTCTTGGCAGTTGAGAGTCTCTACAAGAAAATAAGAAACATAGTAAGATTTGCCAACTGCAGTTCACAGGAAATCAAAACAATTGGAATCCGGCAAGGTTGTAGTCTTAGTCCACTTTTGTTTATATTAGTAATGGACTCAGCAACACGAAGGCTAGAGGAAAAATGCGGAAATTTCAACTGGAGTATGCCAACCTAAGATCAGTGAGCCTCTCAATACTTGCATTCGCTGATGACATTATTTTTTTGGACAATGACAGGAATCTTCAGTACAATATTAATAAATTAAAAGAAGATTAATATGATTATTAACCCTGTAAAAACAAAAGTAATGAGGATTGGGAAGAAGCCTAGGAGAAATCTGTGCCACATCAGAATCAAAGACAAAATCCTCGAGCAGTTAGAAAACTTCAAATACCTGGGCGCACACCTTAATGAAAAAGGATACATCGATTCAGAGGTGACTGAGCGAATCGCCGGTGCTAGCAGGATGTTTGAAGCAGTTAAGAGAGGTTTTCTAAACAGGCGTGAGGTGGAAAATAAAACAAAGGTGGCTGTTTTCAGATCGACATTTCTTCCCATTTTAACATACTCTTCAGAATCATTGACGGGGGCAAAGAAACATCAATCAAGGACACAAGCGTCAGAAATGCGATTCCTCCGAAAGATTGAGGGGAAATCAAAATGAGTACACCACACCACTATCAGGACGAACATCAATATTAAGCCGGCCAACAATGTGATAGAAGAGAATCGACTGAGATGGCTAGGACATCTTCTGTGGATGAAACCAAACAGGATAGCTAGCGAAGCCTATCGAGCTAAAGTAGATGGCAAGAGAGGAAAAGGATGGCCTAGAAGGAAATGGGAAGATGAGGTGAAGAGCGACTTCTTGATTAAGTCATCAGAAAGAATGTTTTTATTAATTAAATTTTTTTCAAGAATATATATTATTTTACTAGTTTATATTCAACGGTTCAAGAGTTAGAAAGGATCTATTTTATACTTTCGATATTGGTTAGATGAAATTTGAGATCGGAGAGGGAGAGACTTCGGTAGATGAGATTTTTAGCAACATCAATTTTTTGGTGATAAGGATGTTTGGAATGGAGATCCAGAAGTCTGTCTGTGTAAGTTGGTTTAGTGTACAAGTCTATGGATATGGTGTTGTTAGGATTCCTTATGATGAAAAGCAAAGAAACAATTATTTAATTCATGTTTGGTAATGGTTATTAATTTCTATACTGTAAAGTTGAGGTGGAGGTGGTAAGAATTAAAGGCTGATAGGATATCTGGAATTTTATCTGGATTGAGAACTATAAGGTCGTCTACGTATTTTCAGATAAACATATCGTCTGGGAACAGAGGGATAATGGAGTCAATGTTGGAGATGTCAGGAGCGAGGGGGTTGGCCATTGCTAGTCCAGAAATTTGATTAAAAAATTGCCCTTTGAAGGTGAGGTAGCCTGATTTACAACATAGATGAAGGGATTCAAGATATGAGGAGTGGTTATGTGAGGTGTGGGGTTCAATGATAGGCCAATGGTCATCAATTATATCAAGTGTCTATGGATATGTTTGTGAACAAACTTTCAACGTCAAAACAGCAAAGAATGAAATGGTCTAGAATGGTAAAGGAAATTAGTTGTTCGTGGAGAAGGAATGAATTATATACATCATAAGGGTTGTTGTGACTGAGAATTTGTAAGAAAGGTAGTAAGAATTTGCTAATTTTAACTGAAGGAGAATTTATATTGGAAGTGATGGGACAGAGAGGGATCCCAGGTTTGTTAATTCTAGAAAGTTCATAAAAACGGGGGGCAACAGAATTAGGTTTCTGTAAGTAGGATAGTTTATAAGTTATTTAATTACTCATAGTATACTATATTTAATAAGTAATAGGATTTATATATAATAATAAACCTCTCATCCATTAAATAGGGTGTTTCAGGATCAAGTGGCCAAACTGAAAACATGAATTAAGGACCTCTAAACAAGAAAAAAAATTCCTATGAAGGTATGTCCGCAAACGTTTTGGTTAGGAGATATTCACACCTAAAGATTTTCATTGTTATGAATTATTTATGTTATATTAAGTAAATAAAACTTATTTATTTGTTCCAACTACTTTATTAATTAAACATAAACATTAAATTCATATTAAATGTTGTTCAAAGTGATTTCCTTGAGCAGTAAAACAGGCTCTGTATCTTTCTTCAACAGCAGCAGTGGCAGAACGACACTGGATATGTGTTATTGTTTCACAAGATTCAATTACCCTTCTTCATAAGGAATTAAGGTCATTGACCAGACTTGTTGCATAGTCTTTTTTTTTAATAACAATAAAAACATATAATATATATGATAAAAACTGTAATGAAAGAATTAATTTAGTTATTCTGTAAACACCAAATTAGAATCTACTAGCTTTTCTAAAATTGAATCAAATCTCAGTAGTTTTGAAAGAATTAAAAAAAATGTTCCAATTTTTAATAAAATAAAGATCGAATTTTTCCATATATATGATCAATTTAATATATATATATATATATTATGTATGTGTAAAGTTTCACTTAAATTAGTTATCTATTAAAAAAAAAAATAGCAAAATAAAATGTCAATCAACAAAACAGATCAGAACAATTACACAAATGAAATAGTCTTTTTTAGATTAAATGTAGCTTTCAATAATTTTTAGGACAGCTAAGATGAAAGTTGTTCAGGGCTATGCTCAGAGAGGATTTAAAGTTTTATTTTTTAGAAGTCCCCTACGTCCAAAATGAAGCCTTGTAAGGCTGAGTCTGAATGGATATTATAAGGACCAAGAGGATCACGAAAAAATAAGATGTTCCTCTCAAAGCCAAGAGTGTGACGAAATAGCATGTTAGTGTATAAATGGTTTCTAAAATAAAGAGGTTTTGTTCATACTAAATAAGAAGGAAAAAGAACTTAAATAGTAGGAAACATAAACTTAAATAATTGGTAATTGGTTGACTGTCGTGGATAATGAAGAGAAGAATAGTTGGGGTGCTCAGTCAAAAAAGGAAGGCAAAAATAAATTATAATATTTATTTTTTACATATGCCGACGTTTCGACCTGAAGTTCAGGCCATCATCAGGGCTTTCTCCTTAAGTGTCAAAGTGAGAATCATTCTCACTTTGACACTTAAGGAGAAAGCCCTGATGATGGCCTGAACTTCAGGTCGAAACGTCGGCATATGTAAAAAATAAATATTATAATTTATTTTTGCCTTTCTTTTTTGACTGAGCACCCCAACTATTCTTCTCTTCATAAACTTAAATAGTAAATTAAATTATCTAGAAATTATAAAAACTGGCCTGAACTTCAGGTCGAAACGTCGGCATATGTAAAAAATAAATATTATAATTTATTTTTGCCTTCCTTTTTTGACTGAGCACCCCAACTATTCTTCTCTTCATAAACTTAAATAGTAAATTAAATTATCTAGAAATTATAAAAAAGATAATTTAAAATCTAAATACATCAACATTAATGGTAACCTTTATTTTTTAAACATTCTAAAATTATCATATATTTCTTTTTATATATTTAGCTTATTTTATATATATATATATATATATATATATATATATATATATAATATATATATATATATATATATATATATATATATATATATATATATATATATATATATAATTACTTATTATATATTTACCTGTTAGTACATACATATTTACAAGTTCCCGTTACTCATTTCCGATAACCGTACTCTGTACATTGCTGAATTTAAATCAATTCTATTTAATCTTTTTATGAAAATTCATAAACCTTAACAGTAAAATGAAGAAACTATATAATTTACCTGGGCAGAGGTTTGCGTTAGTAGAATTGTAAACAGAGAATGAGATCTTGAACTCTTGTCATTTAATTCTGTCATGGCAGTAGACCTCTTTTTGTTCCCAACGTTTATCCAATGCTGAAAAAAAAAAAAAAAATTATAGCCATTAAAGAAAAACCAAAGAATCTTGGTTAGTTTATTTTCAGAAGATAATTACGCAATGGATTCAGCTTCAATATATTATATTCAGTAAGAATAAACTGTTACATTATAAAATAAATTGTGCTTCAAATATACTTAACATTAACGTATTACATTAATATTATCAGACAAAGTAAAGGGAGACCATTAAACAAGGTTAGTTCCACAATTGTGAAAAAATTGTTAACACAACCAGGATTAGTTTCTGAGCTTGATGCACAGGCTCTCCGATGCCCCAACAGATAAATAAGCCTCGTTACCTTGTTACTCCCCATTTAAAAATTACTATTTCGTCATAACTTCCTCAATTGCCTGACTTAGAACTAAGAGATAACCATTCATTCTAAAAAAAGTTTCAAGGCAAATTGTTTCAGCATTAAAATAAATGTGATAACAACAAAAAAATAAATAATTTTCTTGAGAAACAAATAGTCAATCCCAAAATTTATATTTATTTTAAAAACATTAATGCCATCCATTATTTAAAAGACCATTAAAATAAAGTGATAATAAAATATCTAATTAGAACAAATATCAACATCTATAAAATAAAATAAAAAAATCTGTTCCATGACAACCCATAAAGATGTTTAAATATAAATATCTTATTTACTTTTGTGAACAATTGTCCTTTTTTTTAATATATTTTTTTTTCTAGACATCAAGTTATATTTATGCTGCAACTAATAAATATATATATATATATATATATATATATTAGCATTCTGATAGAAATAAGTCTTAAGTATATATCAGCCTTTATAGGTTACATAATTAGTAACAGAAAAGCAAGTCATAATAATCATATCTCTTGAACAACTGATACAGTGGAAGCTGTAAAACTACAAGTAAAGGATAAAAATTGACACAAATGACAAAACCTTTTACATATAAGGCATTCAGAGCTAAAATGGATCAAGTACAAAAGTTAATAACATTTTTTTTTGTTGCAGATTGATACAATAAAAAGAAAATATCCTCTAAATCCATTATAATTCAATTAGTGTTTATAAATTTGTACCTTTATTATTTTAAAATTAAAATTTACAGACTTGATCAACATTAGCACTGAACATCTCCTTATATATGAATCATGTGAAATGACTAAACTAAACTATCTAATAATATTAAGTGAATATTATTTATTCTAAAACAAGGGATTCTATACAACTTGAATCATAAGTGGTTATAATAGAATATTCAAAAATATATAATATAAAAATTTACACATGAAAATTTCAATTCACAAAATGACTAATTCCAATTTCAACATTTAAGATTACCCATCCTAGGCAAAATCCTGGAAAAGCTCATCCTAAAACGCCTGCACCCCATCCTAGATTCTAATCACATTATCCCAGATCATCAATTTGGATTCCGCAGATCCCATTCCACTATCCAGCAATGCCATCGTGTGGTGGATGTTGTCTCCTCTGCATTGGAGCGCGGAATGTACTGCACGGGAGTCTTTCTCGATGTAGAACAGGCTTTTGATCGAGTCTGGCACCCAGGACTGCTTTACAAACTCCGTAAATTCCTACACCCTACATACTTCCTCATTATCCGTTCCTATCTAACTGATAGATCCTTCAAAGTAAATCATAATAATGCCTATTCATCCCTTTTTTCCCAGTCCGCTGGTGTTCCTCAAGGTAGTATCCTAGGTCCTATCCTTTACACAGTTTATACAGCTGATATCCCAACCCATCCTAACACTGTTATTACCACGTATGCCGATGATACATGTGTCCTATCAATTAATAACGACCCAACAATTGCATCCCAAACCCTTCAATCACACATCACAAACCTTGAAGAATGGTTTCAAAACTGGAGGATCAAAATAAATTCCAATAAATCCCATCAAATCACGTTTACCCTTCGTCGTAAACCTATGTCCTCTTGTCCTACAGTATCCTTTAATAATACCCCACTTATCCCTGTTGAACAAATTCGATACCTTGGACTCCACTTAGACAGACGTCTAACTTGGAATCCTCATACCAGACTGAAACGACAAGAAACAGCTCGACGTTTCCGACTACTCCAGCACTTACTAGACAAACGCTCTAAGCTCCCAGTCAATTACAAAAGACTCATATACATGACTACAATAAGACCTATTTGGACTTACGGAATTGAGCTCTGGGGCTCCACTAAGCCATCGAATTCCTCTCGCATCCAATCCTTACAATCCAAAATCCTTCGTAAAATCCTCACAGCTCCTTACTTTGTCACAAACAAAATCATCCATAACGACCTTAATGTTCCTTATGTTTCTGACCTGGCCCAATCCAGATACCTTTCCTTCCATAATAAACTTCAGAACCATCCTAACCCTCTCGTTTCTAACCTTGCTTCCTTTTCGATACCTGACAACCCTCCGAGGCGTCTGAAAAGAAGATGGCCTCGAGATCTCCTTTTGTAAATACATTTTTAGAGTGCTACCAGTGGGTAGTTTCTCACCAAATGATTTCATGTTATTATATTCTATTGTACACATTTACTGAATGTATTTTTACTTGTAATACAGTTGTAAATATCATTAATAAATAAATAAAAATAAAATAAAAAACATTTAAGATTCTTAATTTTTGTGATATTTTTCGTGGGAAAATTTATACCTTTATTCACAGTTCTATATTAAACACAGCAATCACCTACTCTGGAATCAACTTACTCATTGTATGTACAGATATTATAAATTGTCCAACTAGAAACAACATTAAAATAACTTTACTTAAAACTGTTGAAATTGGCGTTATTCACTCTGTCAACTGAAAGACTCTTATAATACAGTTAGATCCCTTTCTGAGTCAGGAGTGATGGATTATGGCGAAGCGTCAAAAGTGATGAAATTGCATGGATAATTGTCAAATTCCAATTTTGATCCTAAAATTTGCACTAAAACTTTCTTAAGCCATTGAAAAAAATAGAAAGCTTCAATACTCCGATGTTAGTAAGCGAATAAATTTTGTTTTTAAATAAAAACAAAACAAAATTTAAACAAAAACAAAATAAAATTTTCTACAAGGCATCAACACATCATAAAATTCCTTCAGAACATATCGGGTCCTTAAGCCCCTAAAATCTACTGTTTCAGATAAACACAATTCTTGTTGAAAGCCTCCCAGATGTCGCAGTTGCCATATCATACGTTGTTTAGTTTTAAAAAATAAAAATATTGCTTTTTATTATTGCGTATGATAAAGTAATGACAAAAAACCTGTTGGAAAGGTAAATAGAAGGAGATTAGTTCTGAAGGCACCTCTGATATTAAATTGTTTTAAATTTATTTCACTTTGTTTACTCTAAGTTTTGGTTTGTATTCATTAGAAGAGCTCTGCTAGACAATTTAAGTATCCTTATAATTAACAACAGCTATATTACAGGAGATTCCTAGTTTTCAATTATTTGAAAAAGTAACAAAAAGTGAACCGGTTTCTAAGGTCTCCTCCACAATGATGCACCAAGTCTAGCACTGACCATCCAGAAAAAATCAACCCTCAATCTTTACCCTCGCACCAAACAGGGAATTCCTTCGTCAATTCTTCTAGCCTCAATCCTCGTGCCTTGATTTACATACGTCATTGTATATTATCTCATCATAATTAATTTATTGTAGAAGAAAAGTTGGTTGGAGATAGCAACCAGTTGAGGTACACAAAAATAAATTTTTATTATCTTTATACCAACGTAAGGCCTAAATTTCAGGCCAATTATTCGATTATCCAAATCTGTCCATTTTTAACAAAGATACAATCAATTGTGATTCGGACACGTTTTGTTTACTATTTTTAATAAAAAATTGAAACAGATCAAGGACAAGAAAATTAAAACCTCCTTCTCATAATACACAATATTTACTTAATTACATATAAAATTGCCATTTGTTTACTGACCAATATCCTATGTGAATTATTCAGACGAGACTAATTATTAGTGTTTTATGTTTTAATAATAAGATATAATTTAAAAATCAACTTGAGTTACCTGGAAATCACTAAATGAGTTAATTGTATGTCGAGAAAGGTCAACAACATACGGACCATGCACAGGATGTTCACGTACTCTCAGCTGCGTATTACCAGGTACAAGGAGATCATGTATTTTTTCATTGTATACTTCTAAATAAGACACTTCTACCGAAGTAGTGAGAGATGGACACTCTTCTTCCAAGGTAGCTGTTTTCTGAAGAAGCTCCTTGCAGAATCGAGGGATCATTCCTGATTCTGACGTCAATTCAAAATTATCTTCATCTAGATTTGGTCCCATCATACTGAAAAATAAACAAAACCAATCAGATAATTGAAAAATCAACCAGTAAAAGTTATAAAATAAATTAGTATAAATAGACAAAACAAATAGTAACTGCAATCAAATGATTTTTACGATGTAGCTTCCATTTGTGAATAATACAATAAATAATAAATAATAATACGTTAAATTAAAAAGGTGTTTTTTATTAGTTTTGTTTTTTAATTTTTCCCCAAAAATACCAGTTATTTTTGCGCACAATAATAAATCAATGCTTACTGGAAATCTTTGCAACTTTTTAAATTTATAATACTTAATAATCAAAATGACAACTGCATTAATAGTTGTAATTTTTTTAATCCGTATCACTGTCCGATTAAACCAAAATTTTGTATATAGCATGTCGTCCACTTGGACTGTCTTGGCCCAACCAAAAATCTGGTGTGAGCATAACATAATTTTTGTTTACCGTTTTACTTTAAATTGAAATTATTTTCTGGCAATGTTGAGCTATTATTAAGTTTTTGAAGTGCATTTTTAATGGAGCTAAGACTTAAACCTTACAGCTAACCTGTAACAACTCATAAAGGTCATGTAAATAACACAAACTCTATTTATTATGTCAACAGAAAAAACTCTCTGTTTTACTAAACCACAACTCCAGTCTTGGAGGTATATATGCCTAGAGAAATTTGCATATTTAACCTGTAAATGATTATAGATTGTACAACTAATTGTAAGGTGTACTAAAATGAAGTTACAAAATTTTCATTACCTGCCAGAGATAAGTTGTCACAATAATTATAAATGGATAATGTAGGGATTTCACAAAGGAAAAATTTCATCTTCTTAAACACAAGTACAAAAAAATAGTTCTTAAACCATTTCATTACCTCGATTCAGTGAATTATTTTTCAAACTTAAACATAATTTAAAAAAATTAAATTTAGTTAGAGACTTTCAATTACTTTTCATGAAAACATTTTGTTTCAATTAAACAATACTAATTTCCAGAAATTATTATTTATGATTTTTCCATTACTGTCCATTATCTGTGACAACTTAATATGTTTTTTAAAAATAAAATTCTCAGCTTTTCAACAATATATTATATGTATACCTTCTGACCATTATTTCAGGAAATTCGTTTTCACCATAAAAATACATTTTTCTCCTTTAGAGTCAATTATCAAATTCTTTCATAATTTATAATAAGCTTTTTTTTTTACTGTTAAGAATGAGAAATGGTTAATTACTAAAAACAGAAGGAAACTTAAAAGAAGAAATTTTGAACATTTAACATTTAAGCCCTGTTAAGTTAAGTGACATCAGAAAGGATAAGATTTACCTGATATTAAAGGCCATTTAATTATACATTCATAGACTGAGTTTAATCAAAATCGTTGGAGGCATTTTCAAGAAAACTGTAAAATTGATGATATAGTGGCACTTCTGATTAGCCGATTTTTAGAAAAAAGTTGCTGTAACATCCTAGACATAAACCTACATTAAATACATAATTTCAGTTTCGTGAATTTTTTTTTTTTTGAGCTAGGATGTTAACATACACAAGCAGGTACCCACACACACAATCACAAACCATTTTGTGGGACTTGTTTATTTGGACTCAGAGGATCTCAAAACGTGTATTTCCGTTGAAAACATCATAAACAGCATGATTGATACCATGTTGATCCACCTGTCAAACAAATGTGACACTATTATTGTTACCAACAAAACCTTGAGTTGAGGGAAACTCACCTGTATGTTTTTCCTGACCCAGTTTGTCCATATGCAAAGAGGCAAGCATTATAGCCTTGTACAGCATTATCCAACAACGGACGAACCAGTGCATCATAAACTTCACTTTGAGTGCAAGATGGTGAAAAACAATGCTCATATGAAAATGTAAATTCTGATCCAAGATCACTCGCAACAACAATACTACCATCACTAACATTGACACCATTCATACCTTCTCTGCAATAGATAACAAAGAGTACAGAAAACAGAACAGTGCGATAATTTAATATTATTATCAAGATAAACACATATTTACAAGATCAATTAATCATTAATAATTACTGATAGTGAGATATAAGAATTAAAATTTTGTACTAATTATAGGTTTTTTTTGGTAGTTTGTGAACTAAAACCTGTCCATAATGTTTTCGCATTAAACATTTTTCAAATTAATTCAGAACATCTAAAAGTAATAACTCATAGTAAGCAAAGTTATTTTAAATAAATTTTTACAATTCACATTGGACAAATAAACAAATCAAGAAAAAAGGAAGTGATTACATGTAAAATGGTTTAATTAATCATATTTTTACTTCATAAAAAGATAAAACTCAACAGTAACTTGAATATCACTAATTTCAATGTCAACTGTTTATTTCACTCAATAAAAAAGGGTTAAAACTTAAAAAATAAATAAAATACCTAGGTAGTAATGGCCTGACACGAACACCAACAGTTATTTGACTTTTTTCCCCTTCATAATCAGAACATGAACTTTGCAAAGAAAGTTTAGCTTCTGACAGACTTCGTTTGATCTTTGCACTATCATCGCATCGTCTTTTGAGTCGTAAAATAGAACTTGCAGAGTAAGAACGATTTAATCTCTCCATTATATTACTACTTTCCATAAATCCTTCATTAAATGAAGGATTATTTTCTTCTACAGGTATTGATAATACATCAGTGCTGCAATAAACAGAAAATAGATTACTAATTTACATACTCAAAATTTATTAGTTATAAATAAGGTGTAAATCATATGGTTATAAAAATGTCTTTAATATTATTTCCGTTAGGGTATTTTTCAACTGAGGAAATAAACTTGAAATAAAAAATGACACCAGTCAAAGAAATAATAATATTCAAAGAATAATAATTTAGAATTAAATAATTCTTACATATGACTAAACACATGTAATGTATGAGTCACCTATGAAAATAAATTTAGCTGTTGGAAATAGAAATGGAAAAGAATAACTAATAATAAAAAAAACAATAAAGGAATAAGTACCTGAACTGAAACAATATATTTGTTTCATTTTTAACAGGAGTTGTGTATTTACTTGGTGACTTCTGTACACATTTCACCTTTTTCGGAGTTGTCTTCACAGTAACCTTACTAGGTGTGGAGGTTGTTAAATTATTAACAACACGCTTTTTAGGTGTTCCAGATAAATTACTTTGGACAGATTTAGGTGTTGCATTCCTGGTCACAATATTATTTTGGGGTGATCTATTTATCTTGTTCTGGCTCATCAATGGTGTCTTATTGATACAAATAGGTCGCTCTCTTTCTTTAGATTTCAAGTGACTGGTTGGTGTTCCTGAGGGTTTCAAATTTTCTTCTGAAGAATAAGGTGATGCCGCTTGATTTTTCATTATGTTTTTTTGTGCCTTTTCTATAGTTTTAGATAATGAAGCAAGATTTGTGTTCACTGGCATTTTTCGTTTAAGTGGAGTGATTTTAACTGGTCTGAAAGTGATTAATATTTAATAAAAATAATTTCCCATTTGAATTTTAATTTACATATAGATCATACTTTTACTAATTAACTAGACAATGACAGAAAAACACATTACTCAATTCCTGTAATGTCTATCTTTACAAATAAGTGACAAAGCCTTATATTGCCTTAAAATAAAGTTACCCATTAATATATGTAAACGGAGCAAAAAATGATGAAAATAAAGCTAAAACATAACAAAACCCACTAGAATACTGATAAACGTTATATTGAAAATCAGCGATAATGACATATTTCTAAAACTTATCCAAAAACAAAAAAACTTACGTAGATTTAAACGTTGACATTTTAAAAGTTGAATGATAACACTGTAACAAAAATAATTCTGAAAAGATTACATTTCTGTGCTCAAAACATAACGGTCATTTGATTCAAACTGACAAGGTTCAGGTTATCCAACCAACCGAACTAGACAAACTGCAGATCATTTTAAAATAAATTAATGTGAAAATAATAACACTTTACACAGATAAGTATTATGTTATTCTATAAAGCTTTTATTTTAAATTAAAAAAAAAATCCATTTTCTTTAGATTAATTTTTAAAATAAAGCAAACAAAAGGAGGGAAAACTAATTTAATAGAGGGTTATGGCGTATTCAATGTTTTTTTGTTTTTGTGAATTCAATCAAATTAATTTCATTGATTTTATTTTTAAATATGCATTTGTAATTTTAACTAATATAAGCCATATTCTTCCTCCCCCCCCACTTCTCTAACTCACCATGTTCTGTCCATCCTATGTTGGTTGAGTTTTTTTCTGTTTTTCTTTTTCTGCAAACCTCTTCTTTTTATTATTGATTTTGAAAGAAACGTATGAACATGAGAATTCACAAATAACTGAAATGTGCATTCATCAGTGCTGAAATGTTTTACATAGATAATCTTGCATGACAGATATATTTTTTCTTCCTCACTGATTCTTCACTATATTTAGCATGGGATATTCTTGGACTACATTCTCTGAACATTTAAGCCATAATATCAGTACTGCTTTTACTTTTGGGACTACCTATGGTTTTTCATACAGTAATCCTAGCTGTTATCAAGTAAAAACGCACAAGGAAGAATTTTCAAGTATCTTGCCTTACTTTCATCTTCCTATTGATTTGAATCACATATCTCATATTAGTTAATTTCTCTCCACCCTGACCAAACTATAGTTTTGTAATGTAAGTAAACATAACTGATAAAAAAAGTTCCAATGTTGGTATTTTAGATCCGTAAAGATTTCACATACAGACCCAGTAATCTGATACAGACATAAGAGCAAAAAGGAAAAAAAAAAAAATTTAAAGAAACACTCTAATTTAGGAGATAAGCATTGTGAGTAGTAGTCTTTCCCCCCCCCCCCTTTCAATGAGCAATGTACTGTAATACACCATAACATAATAGATAGTTTGAAGGGCCCCCTTTCATTGAAAAAATAAAATAAATATATATATATATATATATATATATATATAAGGACATAGGCAAGCTTCAAAATAAAGTAAATATTTCATATATTTATTTTTGAAAGTGTTGGAAATTTAAATTAACTATGTGCACCACAGGTGGATTTATGGGGGGGAGGACTTTCGGGCTGAAGCCCCCCAAAATGGTAAAATATAACCATGTTTTATAGAAACAAATTTTAAAAAGTATCTCTTAAATTATTATTGACCGTGTGATTACATTTAATAGGACTTCAAGGATAACTAAGCCACCATGACATATGGGTAGTTAGTTTCTTTCTTTTTCTTTTTAAAATTAATTATCATTATTTCTAACCTTGCTTCCTCTTCAATTCCTGATAACCCTCCGAGGCGTCTGAAAAGAAGATGGCCTCGTGATCTTCTCATGTAGACAAATTATTAGAGTGCTACCAGTGGGTAGTTTCTCAACAAGTCATTTCATGTTTTTATTTTCTGTTATCAAATTTACTTGATGTATTTATACTAATGCAGTTGTAAATATCATAATAAAAGTTAAAAAAAAAAAAAAAAATTATCATTATATATATGTAGAAAACTCCTTCCTTCTGAAGCCCCCCTAAAATTAAATCCTGGATCCGCTAATGATGTGCACCATGGATGTTGAAAGTTATAATCTTTTTGAGGTTACTCAGCCCTGTTAGCATAAAAAAGTTTTTCATTTTATATTTAGTAAGTAAAATTTCATTCAATAAGAAAATGTTTTTCAATTTATTTTATTTCTGACTAAAATAATTACTAGTCATGGTCAACTGATATGTTTGATCCCAAAGTCTTGTTCCCACTGAATAAGAAGAAATCAAAATCTGTTAGATGAACCTCATAGTTGTTTGTTATTAAACAACTTTTCTTTAAGTCCCAAACTACTTTTATACCTCAGACAAGAAATGGGTATATTGTCATTAGGGGCCTTTGGAATGATTAAAACAAGTAGTGCAACATTTACACAAGGTAAAATTGCGCAAGTGGAAGGAAGAAAGACTTAAATATAATATGTATTGATCAAATGTATTATTGGGTTGGCAATATTCGCATGGCAATGGGTTTTTGAGTAGTAAATAAAACTTAATGCATTATAGACATAAAGTTTATTTTAATCTACAATATGTTGACCATTATTTAATATGACTCTTTCTCATCTTTCTACTGCATAATACCATGTTCATTGAATGCCTGCAATTCATTGTTAAAAAACTGATCCAAGTGGTTTTTGATGTCCTCTTCCTTTTGGAATTTCTTTCCATTCAAGGAGATCTGCAGAGACAACAATAAGTGGTAGTCACTTGGAACTAGGTCTGGTGAATAGGGAGGATGGGGCAAAAGGTCCATATAAGGCTCAATAATTTATTGCGAGTGACCAATGAGGTGTGGGGCCTAGCGTTGTCTTGGTGGAACACAACACTCTTCCGATTTGTCAGTTCTGGACGTTTATTTTTAATTGATTGATCCAATTTTGTTAATTGTGAGCAGTATAGAGTTGAATCAATTGTTTGTCCTGATGGCAATAGCTCATAGAAAATAACACCCTTGAAATCCCACCATATGGAAAGCATCTATTTGACATTCTTTAGGAGCCTCACTACAGGTTCCAGATTTTCTACGGACTACATTATCGTAAAATATCCATTTTTCATCTCCTGTTACCAACCTTTTCAAAAATGAGTCGTTTTGTTGCCGTTTCGTAGTGAATCACAAACAGAAATGCGTGTTGCCAAGTTGACTTCGGTTAGAGAGTGAGGGAACCAAACATTAAGCCTGGAAACATAGCCGAGCTTGTGCAAATGGTTTTCTACGCTTGTGTGCGACACATTTAGGGCCATAGCAATCTCTCGCACTGATTGGGTGGGATTTTGATCAACAATGGCCTTAACATTGCTCGTTTCAATTTCATGTGGGCGACCAGACCGTTGAGCATCATTGATGTCAAAATTTCCTGAATGAAATTTGGCAAACCAATTTTGACAGGTGCGTTCGGTTAAGCCATCATCCCCATAAACACTGCAAATTTTTCTATGAGCTTCTGCAGCACGCTTACCTTTTTTAAAATAATACAACAAAATATGCCGATAATGAATGATATTTTCTTCCATATTCACAGTGCAATAGCAAACACAATACTAAGCTAGTTTCAACAAGAGTTAACAGATATAGTTGTTGACATATTACAAACAGGATAAACAATCCACTTAGGGATTAATTCATCAGATAAGAAGTGTATCATACTGGCAATTAGTAAAATGTTACTAAACTATAAACCTGTTTATAAATTGGTAAAATTATAACAAAGAAATGTATTTTAATAAATGTAATTTTTCGTCACTTAACACATTACCTAACATGGATCAGTCATATGATATATGAAACTACCATGAAATAATGTAGCATTCAATTTGTTTTGAATGTTTTATCAATGAAGTATAGAACATTATCAATAATGAATAAGAACAGAACTTTTCTCAATTTTGGGTAGAATCAAATAGTGGAGATGTGCGAATATTAGATAATTTTCTTCTTAAATAGACAACAGAGCATTGTCATTTAGCACATCCTGAAAAAAATGTAATTGTAATTGTAGAAAATGAGATTTCATATTTTTTATCAAATATTATTTAATTTAAAACCAAGATAAAATCAAAAACAGATAATAGCCATGAAACGAGCAATCTCTTGTTTCTGGAAAATTACTTCTTTTGTTAAAATATTTTCTGTTCTAATTGTAATTATCTTATGTGTTTAAGTTCATTCAATTCCTTCACAACTGACTTGATTATGAAGAACATATTATCTTCCAAAATGTCATTTTTGAAATTTGCACATTGTTGTAATAAACAAAACTACTTGTTTAGTTTAAATGTGTTAAGAATATAGTAAATAGAATTATGTTCTTAATTTTAATATGTAGTATATTTGGTCCCAGCAAATGGTTTAATCATTATATAAGCTGTTACTTGCGACCACTAGCAGGTCTAGGATTTAATTTTGGGGGAAAGCTTCAGCCCGAAAGTTTTTTTTTCATATATATATATATATATATATATATATATATATATATATATATATATATATATATATATAAAACAATAA